CTTTGAGAAAAGAGAAATTGTACAAATTTGAAATATAAGCCTATATTCTATCCATAAAAATGAAAAAAAAAAGTTTAAAATTACGAAAAATATTTTAGAGCTCTGAGTCAATATGAAGAGTTGAAGAATCCACCATCAAACCATCAGAACAAGGGAGAGGACCCATAGAAATGGGTATCTTGGTTGTCTTAGATCAGTGTAGAACAAACTCGTATACATCAAAAACGCATAGCAGCATAAAGGCCTTCCAAAAGAACCACAGGGTCATATGACTCATCATAACCCTCCATATAAAACAATCAATTCCAATATAAATTTCAAATCCTCGGAAAAACATATATAAAATTACACGACATCCACATACATCCTCAGATTTAAAGTCAAAGCTTCCCAGTCAATACCGTATATCTCTATTTTATAAACGCATCACATAGTGCCAAATTGCATCACATCCAAATACACGAACCTCAACACCCTTTGTTAGAACATTCATGTTCAATAATCATTTGTTCATCTTGTAAAGAAAGGTTATGTGCCTCAATAGCATAATAAAAGCAAGCATGACATGTATCTTCATAAGAGGAAAATCAAACCTTAGGATTGCAATCACTTAAACTGCCACTATTTAGAGATAGAGATGAAGGTTCAAATTGGGTCAAAGAAAAGAGCCCCATTAGTCCCTAAACTCCACACAAGAAGAAAAAGAAGATCAGCGAACACCACACAGAACACCTAACCATACACACTTGAAGGCCACGCAGAAAGAAGAAAGCACTATAAGCCCCATGATCAATTTTATATTTCGGCAAAATAAAGAGTAGAGAACTGCCTCCACCGATAAGAAGAGGAACAAATTGATAAATCAACAAACACTAACCAAACACATCCAAAGTACAGGTTGTTGATGATTCGTCCATGACAACCACTTAGAACTTTCTATGTAATATCAATCACCCAAACAAAGTAGAGGGCAATGCGCAGTTAAAAACAATAAGCAAGAAGGAAGAAAGAAACCAAAATACCAAATTTAAATCATCCTCCATAAGCTCCATGCTCATTACTTTTAAATATTCGCATATCAAAGAAACCAAAGAAACTAGAAAAAAATCACGCAGAAAAACACACCTGAATGCCATATAGAAGAAAGAGAGCCCCATAAGCCCCATGCTCATCTTTCATATTTCAGCATATCAAAGAAACCAAAATAACCAAAGAACCCCACACAAAATTCATAAACACAAACTCAAACGCCACACAAAAGGAAGCGAGGCACATAAGTCCCATGCTCAATAATTTCATATTTCGGCATACCAAAGAAACTAATGAAACTAGAGATAGCCACACAGAAGCCATAACCAAACACACACGAACATCACACAGAAGGAAGAAAGCCCCATAAACCCTCCCATGCTCATGAATTCATATTTCTGCATACCAAATAAAGCAAAAAAACTAAGGAACGCCACAAAAAAAACTATAAACAAACACACGCGAATGCCACACAGAAGGAAAAGAGAGCACTAAGCCATGCTCATCAATTCATATTTCAACATACCACAACACGGCAGAAAACTGTCCCCACAGAACAGAAGAGGGAAATCAAGAAAAATATAAATCTTAGCCAAACACACCAGTATCAGAAGAAAGAAAACGGAAAAACACACCCGATCGAGAAGATGGAAGGCAAGCAAGTTTATTCATACCTGAAATGAAGAACATTCAGGAACAAGAAGATAGAAGAAGGAACCCAATCAAAAAACCAGAGTGATCTGCGGGAGCCTGTGGAGGTAGAGCTGGAAGAGTCGAGGAAAACTGAAGCGAAACTGCGAAATGTAGAGGCCTAATGACGGTCACAAAAAGCTAAAAATAGGTCGTTGCAACAAGAAAAAAGCCAGCGAACGCCGCCACAAACAAAGTCACGGGGCAGCGGGCAATAGACTCTTAGCTAGGCGAGGTTGCAAAACACATTTTTTCCACCACAACTTCTTGAGAACGTAGGCAAAATGCAATTTTGCCAAACGCACCAGTGGTGTCGCTACCCTAAATAGAGGATGTATTTAATAAAAACATATATATTAACAAATTTTAGTAACATTATTTAATTATGCTTGAATAATCATTGTTTTTAAATTAATAATATCATTTTAATTAATAATTGTAATCCCTCGATTAAAGTGTAGCATATTACAACTTTTATTAAAACAGCACAATCATTAATTTTCTTTACTTTATTATTTATTTAATATAGATCCTAAATAATTTATTTCCATAATAATTTAATTTTCATTAAATTTATTATTATTTTATTTTATTTTATCTATGCACATTTAATGGAAACAATGGAGAAAATGGATTCATGTAATCGGTCCCACTTAGTGGGATAAAAACTTGTTGTTGTTGCTGTTGTTGCAGCTGTTGCTGTTGTTGTTGTTGCTGTTTTTGTTAATCTATGTACATTTATTAGTATTATCCCTCAACATTTACTTATGCTTTTGTTTCTCTCAGACAACTAAATCTTATTCAACTAATTACCACTTATAGTTAGATAATTTCAAATTCTAATTAAATATACTCATTAAATTTCTAATTTCACAATTCCATGTTTAGAGATAACACAATATATCATCATAATTTAATTTAATTTTTTTATCTTCACTCACTAATTATGACAATTTTTCTAATAATATTAATTGTTCAATGCTAAATTTTTGGGATATGTCCAATGAATTTTGTTGGATTACTAACGATGAGCCCAACGAAGGGTTTAATGGTAGTTGGAGGGCCATGGCCAAAAAATTCACGGAGCCACCACCCTTCGGTTTGCCCGCCATATGGAGAAATATTTGCATACATAAGATGTACGCAACGCTGCGTACATTAGAGGTTATTTAGGTGGTACAATGGGGTTATATCTGGGTTATACCCCCTTGTAACCTCCGGTATAACCCGGATATAACTCCTCTGTACCCCTAGAATAACCTCTGATGTACGCAGCGCTGCGTATATCTTATGTACGCAAATATTTCACCAAACCATGACCTTAATATCGAAATGGCCTTGAGGGCCACTAGCATTTCTTTGGTCCTTTTTTCAGCACCAGCAAAGGAAATGTAGCTCAAAATTTTCAAGTGGAAAAAAGAAAAACTAGACCTCCTACAACTCTTTTTTTTTTTTTTTAAATATGAATAAAATGGCACTTATTGGCACTTATTACAACCCTAATATGATAAAATAAAAAAACTACAGTTGAGCCCCACTTTTTGGTCTGTAAAAGGGGCAAAATTGAGAATCTCTCTCTATCACTCTCTCTCACACACACACACATTATCACAAAATTAGTTTAAAATACTATAATATTAATTATGCTAAAAAATAAAAACAATATGCACAAAGATATAATTATTAATTAAAAAAATATTGGGTGAATAACCTTATGCTACAGGCATGATATGTTAAAATGATACCTAGGTCAAGTATTTTAAACAAATAAAATACAAAAGCATCCAAATAATGGTTTCATAGTCCTACTTTTATAACCTGCGATAAAGCGGTAGGTATTTTGTATAGATTTATTAGTTTATAATAGTCACATTTAAAGGTAATCAACAATTATGCAACACATTATTTATTGATTATATCACAAGTAATTTAAATTTGCATATTATTTTCAGTTTAACCTTTATATTAAATATATTAAATTAGCAATAAGATATACTACAATAAACTTAGTTATTATATTCTAAGGTACTATATTAGCAAACACTTCCACATTCATACCACAATATTTTGTCACCCTCTTTCACGCTGCAAAGAACTTCCCACCACAATCGCATCTCCTATCTTCACCTGATCCGTCTAGTGTATTTTTTTTTTTTTCTGACGCAAAAAATTGCGACTTAAAACATAATCGGTATTTCAAATATAGGATTAAGTTGGAATGAGGAACATTATTTCTGTCACTCAAACCATATGAATTTCAGCATCAATATAGTTGGCAGTTCACAAATTGATTAAGATAGAATGCGTCAATCAAAATTTCTGTCACCCTTACAGCACAAATGTCACCCACCATGAAAATTAAATACGGATATCCCCATTTTATCAGATTAACTGGATTCTATGAAAGAGATGATTAATTTACATGGCAAACTCAGTAAATATGACTCCATATGACAATGGATATTTTTCCAAAAAAACATATGTCAGACATGGGAGACCAAGTTTCATGATCACGTAGAATTACTGCCAATGACCAAAGAATGACTGGCAAATATGAAATATGAAAGAATCAAAACAAATTAGCACAACATTCATCAATACTTCAGATATATGATTTAGAAGAAGGGGCACTTACATAGATACCACACAATTCTTATGTATTTATAAACCTAACAACTAAACTTTAAAATTCAAATTCATAACACTCAAATCTTTAACACCACAATAAAAACAACACTTTTTATTAACTTCTTAAAAGTTAAATGCACCTTTTTAAAAGGTTTATAGCGCCAAGGTGTTATAAATGTAAATATCAAACTTCAGGTGTTAGATATGTAAATCCACAAGAAATGTGGGGTACGTTTGCAATTTCTTAAAAAATAAAAACAAAAAACCTTAAAACAATTGAATAAAAGAGCTTGAAGGAGTCAATATGTATATAAAACAGACTCTAATGAAAGGATAACACAGCCTTCAATGAAAGGACTTATTGAAGAAGAAAACTAAGTACATAAGTGCATGCAACCAAGCCCAAGGCAAAACTTGGAAACCTATCCTTCCTCAGAACTCTTGAGAGAACTATTGTTAGTAATGTTAAAGAAAAAAGCTCATGACAATGTTTGTTTTGTTGAATTATAAATTAGTATTAAAAATAACAAAATTTTAAGAAAAAAATTTACAGTTGTCATCCGCCAATACAAAAAAAAATCAAGACAGTTAAAACCGACATATTGCTGAATGCAAGCATATAACAACGAGATGGTTAGATAAGATAGGAACCTGACTCTGAAGAGATTGGTCTCCAAACTTGTGCAAATTTCTGCTTCTCGGACATGTCCAAAGAACTTTGTACACCCTTCTTCCTAATTATAGGGGTATAGCTTAAACTTCTGGTACAAAGGATATCCTGGAAATTGACAATTGCATCAATGGAATAAAGTAATATAATGCATCCACTATCATTATAACTTTCATAAAGCCTAGTTTTTAAGCTTAGTAATGTCTTGTTCATTAATTTCTCATGTAAGTCCATTTATGTATATTATTGTGGTCTCTAACTCATGTACTCATTCCTGCTGTTCTTTTGGAGTTTTGAGAAGAGCACTGTGGTATTTTAGGGAAATATTTGAGTAAATTTTCCAAAAGATTTCCAAAGCTAGTTATCTTGGGTTTATTTTGATCGTAGTCTCTCATGGAGCATGCTCTGATAGTAGTTACTTCCTTAGATCAACTAGGTGAACCTAGCCTATCAAAGAAACGAGTACAAGCCACGATTTTAAGGAACCTAAATAACAACCATGGGCTGCTTAACGAATATCCCAATCAAATCAAGGTGGTAATATGATGGACACATCCTCCCATGATGAGTTTTAGAAATTCATTTTAGATTGACAAGGCTTGAGAGCATGAAGAATAGCAAAACATGATCCATAAATTTTAGACCGGACCAACAATAATTCAAGGACTTTAACATGAACAATTCATATTGAAATTGGCTTAAAGTTGTGAAGGGCTTCCATAAGCAATTCAGAGATTGACATGATTGATTACACCATAAAAACATGGTGTAGCCAATTCAACAATATAAGAATAAACTTACAAGATCGCCCTAAAGGGGGAGTGCATTAAAGGATACATGGTTAGGAAAGACATTATGCTATGGGGAACGTTTTGTTCTGCAGTGGTAGTCAAGGTCATATAATTGATCCAGCTATCACTCGAGGACGAATGGTTCATAGAAGATCTGGTAGGGTAGAATCTCCCCACCAAAATAAAGAAAAGCATATATGGGATATTGAAATGCCCCGTTAAACTTAGCAAATTACACACAAAAATAAAAATAAAAATAAAAATAAACAAGTGGAACATCCATTGCATTAAAAAAAGCATGTGGGTGCAAAGCCACAGCGACACCCCTTAAGTAGAATGAACTTGAACACTCTTATATAGAATGAAGCTGAAGTTTTAATGCTCGAGGCGCCTTTTGGTCACAGTTTGAATTTGATCAGAAACTCCAGAGTTAAGTGTGCACGTGCTAGAGCACTCCTGGGATGGGTGACCTCCTGAGAAGTTACACAAATGGGGCAAAATCGTGAAGCCACTAAGCCAAAGCAAACAATATCTTGATGAGTGGAGTTCAGGTTGTTACAAATTATAACAGAGCATTAAACCAGCCTGAATATGGAAACTAAATGTCAGACGGAATAACGTGCTACACTTGGGAGCCACCTCTTGAACCCTAGATGGGACAAAATGTTGCATGGTGAGAGTCACCTCTTAAATCTGTAGTGCTCACCTCTGAAATTCTATCTACGTGATGGAAGATTATGAGTTTAAAACATTGACAAGGACGTCAATTAGTTAAGTGGAAGAGTTTGTGAAATCGCTCAAGTAAAATGAAATTGAAATCTTCAAAATTGACAAGCCTTTTGGTATAATGGTTGAAATTTCATCAGAAAATCGAAAATGAAATGTGCTCGTGCTAAAGCACTCAAGGCATGGGTGACCTCCTAAGAAGTTACACCAATGAAAAAACCGTGAGGCTACTAAGCCAAAGCAAACAATATCTCAATGGGTCAGAGTTTGAGTTGTTAAGAGTCTTATCTAAAAAAATTATTAGACTGGTGACGCTAGTCGATTTGTGTTTATATAAGAAGAAGAGACAGACAGATCAAAGACGGGCCCCATGTAAGCGAGATAAAGAGCAGAGTGGAAGGAGTGCATGAGCGAGGGGCAAAACCGAGAGATTGCTAGCGGAAAATTGGCTTGTCCAGTTAAAAATAGAGTACGTTAAAGCAGCCAAGCATGTGAACGAGGGAATGGCCAAGTATCTGAGAAGGAGAAAGTAATTATTGGCGACGTAGTCACGGTACTGTAAAAAGTCAGATTATGAACAAGACTTAAATGAATGTTTTTCCTCTACTAGGTCTTGAGTTAAGATAAACTTAAACCCAACACAAATTTCATTCGACTCTTCTCTTTATGAACATGCATAAATTTGATTCCCTTAAACAAATTTATGTTCAAAGATAATTTTATTCTTATAGATTATTTGCAGAGTATTGAGAGGCTAAGGAATAAAATTTATATCATATACATGTAGGAAGTTTTTTAGTGAAATTTAAATATTATTAAAGTATTAGAATAATAAGAATAGGATGTTAATTAAATTAATTAAAAATTCATTAGAAATCAAAAGATTTGAAGGAAAAAATATTAAAATAATTTTAAGTGAAAATAGAATGAAATCTCCAATTAAAATTTTTGATAAGAAAATATTAAATTTGACTTGTGAAAAGTTCACATTTTTAAATTATAAAATTTAATTTACAATGTTAAAATTGTAAGTAACAATAGTTTATATGCTTAGATAAAAATAATGAAAAAATATCAATAAATAATGTAATTAAATTATAATTTAAAAAAAGTTAATTAAAAAATATATTTTATGTGTATGATTAGAGGTATTCCATTAAAGAAAGTGCACTTAAAATAAAAAAGCAAAAAAGAAATCATTAGAAATTGAGGTGTGTACTCATGTTTTAAACTTATGGTAATAGCATTATTTTTTCTATATCAAATGAATCAATTGTTATTGATATCCTTTTATTCTAACATCAATAAAAAATTAATTTATGAATCATAACTCTTGTGAAAACTATTAATCAAATTAAATTGAGTAATAGATTTCCTGTTATGTTTCAAACTGCTCATCCTATATCATATAAATTTAACTATAGAAAAATAAGGAATGAAATGTACAATGCAAATAAATGAATGGTATAGAATGCTTTATTTTGCATGTTGATAGATAAGGTTTACCCCTTATAGTACTAGTTGAGAATGACAAAGTAACTGGACACGTAAAAATAAAAAGGATATTGATATTAAGTATTTTTGTGGATTTTAAATTCTTCTTCTATAATGGATGTAATATGTAAAATAATATAAATAGGGGTGTCAAATCAGGTTTGCAAATCTAGTGCAAGCCTGACTCAAAATTGACCTGACCCGAAATTTCTTGACCCTAACTAGACCTGAATATCAAATGAGTCTAAAAAACTAACTCAAGCCCGACCCCCTCCAATTCAATTGACATGAACCCAACACACATAACCCGCTTAACATATGAATAATAGCTATTCACGTTAAATTCAAATCAATTTCAAGCTAGCCAGTCAAATTTGGGTCAATCTCAAGTTGACTAGCCAAATTCAAGTTAATCTTTATATGGCAAGTCAACCAGAATCCGACTCAAAAAAAAAAAATATGAAAATTTTTTACCCGAGTCCAACCTAAAAATTAATCTAAGTAAACCGGAACCTGAATTTCTTGGTTGGATTCGAGTTGAATTAATGTGTCGAGTTAATTTTTTATACTCATAATATAAATAAGATGTGATATTATTTTTATTATACAATAGAGTGTTTTAAAATCTTTTGCATGGTCATTTTTAAGGAAATAAATTAACAAACAAATTTCTAGTTATTTATTAAATTTAACAAGCATGCACATTATCTTATTAACTCTTTTATATTGTTGTAATTTAGAAAATATATCATAACCATTGAATTGTTGATAACTCACAATAATTTAAACTAATACTTTCAAGATAAAGTTTTGAAAAGAAAATGAACAAAAGAGGAGAATTGGTTTATCAAAATCATGGCCAAATGAGATAATAGTATTTATATTAACAAATGACTTACTTTTAAACTAGTTTAAATTTTAGGGTATTTACATGCATATCACATAATTTTTATATAATTCCATATCTAACACTAAAAATGTGAATAATCAAAGAATCACAAAAAGAGTATCAATGTATAAGCAAACCTCTTCTTGTCATAAATCCACATCATGAGATATGAAAGATGCAATAAGAAAAAAACAATTAAAAATAATGGAAAAAAATGAGTCTTCTAGTTTAGCTTAATAAGTGCAAGATTAACCGAACAAAAGTCATGATGATAGAATAGATAAAGATATAGAATCCATTACAACCACATTGAACCCTTAATGATCCTACCTACACCCACCCATCTACTCCATGCCACCACCAACAAATGCTCGTCAAGCATATGCTAGTAATACAGAAGAAAGTGATGAGAACAAGAAGATATCACTAGTTTGATGGGATAAAAAGCGGGAAGAAAATTAATGTGTAAACTAAAATGAAAACATACTTTTACTTTTTATAGGTACAAAATTCATATCAAGGTTCACAATCTGAAACGGACCTTAAATTACTAAGCCGAGAACAAACAATCAGAAAATAAATTTAAATTTCAATTAGTCACTAACTAATGAAAATTATCAAATAAATTAAAATAGCCATTAACAAAAAAATTCAAACTATTTTAAAAATAACAATTGTTAATTTAATTATCATTCTCAAGTTTATTCATATCTTCATAAATAATTTCTCTTCTTCCACTCGATTTTTTATTACAAAACTTCTTTAAAATATTACTTTAAAATCATTATGAATTATCAAGAACTCAATTAATACTCATAACTCCAAAATTTCAGTAACATAAAAGAGTTAAAAAGCCAATATACATGTTGGTTAAATTGAATAAAACAATATTAAATCATTAAATAATTTATCTATTCAATGATGACATTGTAAAGATTCAAATCATTCTATTGTACAATAAGGATATTATCATAATATATCTACATCATTTTATCTATGACATTCATCGCAAGAGAATAATCTAAAACATGTCATTTAAGCTATCTCATTATCACCATCCTTTGTTAGTTATCTTTGCATTACCAACTAATATCATAAAGAGGTTAACACCATCAATACATATATATGCAAAAACTATAAATCAGAGTTTGCAAGATAATGTTGCAAAAATTAATAGAATCAGAAATAGAAGTATAGCCCTAAAGATTGTTGTTGATACTAATATTTTTAATGTTATAACTGTTTTTGCTCCTTAGGTAGGTTTAAATACAGGTTCAAAAGAAAAATTTTGTAATGACCGGCAAGAATTAAAACAAAATATACATCTTGAATAAAGAATTTTTATTGGAGATTTAAATGGGCATGTTGATAAGGTAGTAGAAGATTTAAGAAATATTAATGATAGTTACGATTTTGTAGTAATTAATTAAGAAAGTAGAACCATATTAGAGTTTGTTTTAGCTTATGATTTGTTTATTGATAATAGTTTATTCAAAAAGAAGAAGAGCATATTATTACTTATAAGAATGGATCTAATAAAAAAATAATTATTTTTTAATGAGAAAAAAATATCATCGAGAATGCAAAAGATTGTAAAGCCATTCCAAACGAAAATTTAAGTACTCAATATTGATTATTAGTTCTGAATTTTAAGATGAAGAGTTGTAAGAAAATAATGTAATAAAATATTATCATAGAATTAGAAGAGGAAAACCAAAAGACAAATAAAATTATTTTTTAGTAAACTTCAAGATTTCAACATTTGGAATGTTCATGAAGAAGCTAATTCTATATGGGATAAAGTAGCAAACATTATTAAACAGTTGAAAAAAGATGTACTTGATAATCAAATGAAAAAAAATTATTTAAAAAAAATAGATTGTGATGGAATAATAATGAGCAGTAAAAGATAAAATATAAGTTGTGTCATAAAAATTGACTTAAATGTAAAAGCTTAGAAAACTAGAAAAAATATAAGGTGGCCTGTAAGGAGTTTAATAGAACAATTTGTGACGCTAAGAATTCTATTTTTAATGATTTTTATAATAAATTAAATAATAAGAGGATGAAAAATATATGTATAAACTAGCCAAACAAAGAAAAAAATAAAAATAAAAATTTAATTCAATCAAAGTGTACTAAACATGAAAATCAAAAAGTGTTTCTTAAGGGAGATATTCAACATAGGTGAGTGAGCTATTTTGATAAATTTTTCAATAAAATTTCTAAAAATAGGATCGACCTTAGTGATCTTAATCTCGTCAATAATAATCACAAAACTTTTTATTTTTGTCATCATATTAGTAAAAAGAATGTTGAGGAGGCTTTAAAGAAAATCAAGGGTGAAAGATCAATAGAACCTGATGATATACCTATTGAAGTGTGGAAATATCTAAGAGATTTGAGAGTTATTTGGCTTACTATACTCTTTAATATTATTTTAAAAACTAAAAAGATGCCCAAGGAGTAGAGCAAGAGTATTTTGGTCTCATTTTTTAGGATAAAGGGGATGCACAAGATTGTGCAAATCATAGAGGAATTAAATTAATGTGTCATACTTTAAAATTATGGGAGTGAGTAATTGAACATAAGTTAAGACGTGATACAAAGACTTCTCATAATCAGTTGATTTATGCAGGGCAAGTCTACTATGGAAGCTATACATTTATTGAAAGATTTGATGAAAAAGAAAAGAGAGAGTAAGGTGGATCTACATATGTTTTTTATTAATTTAGAAAAAGCTTACAATACGGTTCCTAGAGATATTCTTTGGAGAGGTCTAGAAAAGAGAAGTGTTGATATGACTTATATTCAAGTCATTAAGGATATGTATACTAAAGTTGTTACTTGTGTTCAAACAGAAGGAAGATTGACCAAGTATTTTTCTATTTTAGTTGGATTACATCAGAGATCAGCTTTAACTTATATCTTTTTGCTTTAGTAACGGATGCTCTTACTGGACATATACAGAAGGACGTACCTTGGTATGTGTTTTTCTCTAATGATACTCATCTTGTGATCCTTCTAGTGGATAAGACTAGAGAAGAAGTTCAGGAAAAACTTGAATTATGGAGGCGTACATTGGAGTCTAAAGGTTTTCATTTGAGTAGAACTAAAACTGAATAAATGGAATGTAATTTTAGTAGTATTATCTCTAGTGACAGAGTTGCAACTATGGGTGCACAAATCATTAAAAGGTGTGAAAGTTTTAAATATCTCGGGTCTATTGTTCAAAGTGATGGTGATATAAATGTGGATGTTATTGGTAGAATTCAGGTTGGTTGGTTCAAGGGGAGGAATGCATCAAGCCTATTGTGTGGTAGAAAAGTATTCCTTAGACTAAAAAAGAAAATTTTATAGGATGGTGGTGAGACTTGCAATGTTTTATGGCCTAGAATGTTGGTCTGTAAAATTATAGGATGGTGGTGAGGCTTATCGGTCAGTGGCTTCTTCTCGAGTTCTACCACTATCTTCTTTCTAGAAGGATCCTCCACATATTCTTTTGCAATCTTGCTAAACAAAGATTGGTTATTAGTGTTGATGAAGAACCCAAAAAACTTAAAAAAAGACTCCATGTTAAGGAATTCATTAATCTCATAGGTTGGACAACCTTTAATTGTTATGATACCATCTTCAAAATTAGAATGACAATAAAAGAGAATACAAAAACAACAACAACAAAGTTTTAATCCCACTAAGTGGGGTCAGCTACATGAATCCTTATTCTCCATTGCGTCCTATTTAGTGTCATATTTTCATTTAGTTCTAGTAAATTAAGATCATTTTTTATACAATAAGCCCAAGTCTTCCTAGGTCTACATCTGCCTTTCTTAACACAAGTCGAATCTAAAACATCTACTCTCCTAATCGGATCATCAGATAGTCGAAGTTTAATGTGACCAAACCATCTAAGAATAAAGTATAAAAATTTTATGATTGAATTTTATAACCCAATTCTATTTAAGAAAAAAAGATAAAATTTTATGCCTAAAACTGTCGATAGGCAACTATCTAGAAAGTAAGTAAATTTGAAAATTAAGTTTTAATTATGGAATCTAAAATTAACTAAATAACAGAAATGGAATGTTAATGTCCATAAATTGTTGGATTGCAGATGGAAAGTTGTTGTTCATGGAATGATAGGCTTTCGTAAATGTGAAGATTTTGCCCATGAATTACTCTAGGTGGAAATATGATGGCCTCAGATTAAAGATTATTTTAGCACGTGGACCATGAATCCTCTCATAGTCCATCCTACTAAAATAAGAAATCCACTCAAATTACATCAATTAGTTCTTCTCTCTTCCAAATAGATTAGTAATAGCTCATTCAACCCCAATATTAATTTTTCAAATCAATCAAACTTAATGAGCATGTGCATTAACCATATTACAGCATCCTAAAGTAATTAACTAAAAACAAAACATCCTATTATTAATGGTATTCACCTAAAAATTTAAACCGCCCCAATAACACTAGATTACAAATATTTTGCACTTATTATCTCCCAAACAAGAGATTAAATATTCTTATATTCATTTTGTTGATTAATTCTCTCATATTTCACTTCAAGTAACAAATTTTATGTATCAAATCTAATCTTAAGAGCTACTCAACCCTTGCTCAATTTTCAACACAATTGAGTTTAAGTTGTGATGTCTCCATCTTGATCAACTATTGCCTACTTTTCACCATAATGGGTGAAGTTATGGTGATTCAAATGCGAGTGATAACATAGAAAACTCACCTATTTCTCAACAACAATAACAACTTTATCCCACTAATACTAATTGGGGCCGGCTACATGAATCCTTTTTCTCCATTTTGTCCGATTGACTATCATATTCTCATCTAATAAATTAAGATCATTTTGTATACAACATGTCCAAGTCTTATTAGATATACCTCTACCTTTCTTAACATAAATCAAATCTAAACATATACTCTCCTAACTGGTAAATCAAATGGTCAGCATTTAATGTGATCATACCATCTAAGATGAGCCTTTCTATTTCTCACCATAATCAATTTAGGGCATGGGGCGTTGCTTTTGGATAAAAGCCTCAGCAGCATCAAAACTCAATTTTGGATTTAAATTACGATCCTTGACTTATCCGAACTTCAAAACATAAATGTTGGTTTTATATATCCCTAAATTAAACTGGGAGGAAACATAGATGAAAAAAGATAAACACGCTTTCTGCAAAGATTTATAGCATAAACAAGCAAAGAGAAAATAGAAAAAATAAAAACAAAAATTGTTATCACTACCTGGAAAGGGTACAACCGAATGCAAGGAGCAATCACCGCAGAAACACTGCTTGAATAACGGCTCAATCTGCAAGAATTCTTGAAGAGGATAAAACTGTTACAATTACTAAGAAACTTGCTCGACACTGCAAGAAAATGACTTCAAATCGTACAGCATCATAAGCCCTAACATTTAAGGGACGAGGTGGACAACCAGAAAATAGGGCTTTACAGAGATCTCACCGAGAGAAAGGAATGCAAGCAACCATCTGCTACAACTTCAACGGCAAACGGCGCCGACGGAAAGCCGCTGTTTGTGCTTCACAAATGAAAAAGATCACACGATGAGCACTAAAGACTAGCCGCTTAGCTTCAAACGACCTATATATATATATGTATATATCATTTGTGGAAGAACAAGATATAACAACAATCAAAACAGAGATATATTAATAGCAAGAGAATTATAGGATTCCAAGCTCTCGAAGAACTCCAAGATAGCACTCTTAATTTACATAGAAAGAAAATGTTATAAAATTACACACAAATTCTGAATATAACGCTACATTACAACCTAAAGTGGATGACTAAAGCACACCACATCCCGAAAATAAACTAACAATAGTATTGAAAGAACAGAAAGTAAACTAAAAATAATAATCCACATTATTAGCGGAGAAAATTAGAATAATAGATGGAGAGTGATCCACATCAGTATTGTTATTAGTGGAGAGCAATAAGTGAAGAGATGCCTCTTCAACAAATAATTGATGGTGGACGGGACCCGCGGGTGTTAATTTATGTCAATTGGTTGTCATTTTGGTATGATGTGAGTGACTAATTATTCTTTTTTTTTTTTTGGTCGTCTGAACATTTATTCTCGACTGACATATTGTCTTCATATTCAAAGAATCCCTTCATTTATTTTTCATATAATTCTTGCAATCTATGTTGAATATGTTCAGAATTTTCACAATGATACTTTCTTTTAATTTTATCATGAATTTCCATTAAATAAAATTCTTTGTTTGTTATACTTTAATATTTAAAATATTTGATTTAATTGTATGGTAATTTTTGTTAATTTATCATTAATGATGATCATTGACCACCATTTTATAAAAAATGTTCTAAATAAACATTTATTGTTTATATCATCTTGTCCATAAGACAAGTTCCAGGCGAAGATCCAGGAGATTTGTGTCTGACAAAATAATAATAATTTACACATACCATCAGCTAGGAATTCAATCATTTTTATGTTATTTAGTTAAGGTGAAGATTCAACCCAAGTAGGGTAAATATTTACGATTGCCTTTGAGAGAATTTCATTTGTTGCTCCAAATTTATCCCATCAAGAGAAAAACTAATTTGGTATTTTCTTATTACGAATTTTAGACATTAAACAAAAGGCCAAAAGTGTTTATGCTTTTGATTTAGCATTAAAAAAGCACGATTCATGAATTGGACATAAGTCTAGTAATTAAAGAAAACTATTCTTTTTTGATGAATCATTGTATTAGCAACTTCAATTTGTTTAGTTTGAAAAGGTGTTAGCCCCACTCTTTATGATGCAATATGTGATTTATTCTTGCTTTGTTGTGAGCAATAGATTTATTAGGTTCATTAAAACTGTGTTGAATTTCAATACATTTTAATGAAGCTAATATTGCTTCAAAAGGTTCTATATCAAGACCAGAGTCTCGTGGATAGGTGATTGCACAAGGATACCTCTCCTCGATTTGTCAGGGATTAGTTATTTGGTAATCTTTCAAATTGGTTTCGAGAATTTTTTCTCAGGAAAGTTTTGTACAAATATGATTATTTCTTGAGTTTGTACATTTGGAGCTTTAATTTATGATGTGGATGTCATTGGGCTTCCATAAAGGTAATTATGTAGATTAATAAATTTTGATGGAGTCACATTAACTTGACCCCTACCTCTCCCCCGAAGAAGACCCGCTGCCACATGTGGGGGTCATTTTAACCCATGGATGAGGAGTGATCCACCCCTTTCTTCATGTAAAAATTCATGAGTGAGAAAATCAGGTAAATAATTAGAATTACCTTTAATATATTAAATATCAAAATCAAAATAGGATAATTGGGCTTGCCAATCGACAAAGATTTCTTTGGAAACAAGATTTTTGATATTTTTTTGAAGTATATACTTAATTGAACTATAAGCAATTTTTAATAAGAATTTTGTATTGAATAAATCATCTTAAAATTTATGAATACATTTTACAACAGAAAGCATTTCTTTCTTTATAGGAGAATATTTTCCTTGGGTGATATGCCTCTTGTCGGATGTAAATTTAACTAATAATTCTTTATTTAAAGGCTTTTTTTCTTTAAGATTCTGCCATTGCCAATATTGGAAGCATCAGTCTCTACAATTTTAGGTAGAGCTAGATCAACAAGATGTAAGCAATGTATATTTTTTACCTTTTTGCTTAATTATCTGGACAACTTTAGTATGAAAGGTGGTCTAATGGCTATTTTGCTTTTTTAGCCTTTCATAAAGAATAACTGCATCTAAAGCAATATTTTGATAATAATCCGCTACATAGTTAAGCGAACCGAGAAATCTTTGTAATTGATTGATATATTTAATTTTATCAGAAAATTTAGAAGCAAATTCAATGCTTCTGTCAATTGGTATAGTAGTATTAAGGGCAATATTATGTCCTAAAAATCAGATTTCAGTTTGAAATAGTTTTATTTTTGGTGAAATAACTATCCTATTATTTTTGCAAGTCATTTAAAGGTTTGCACATGATTAAAATGTTTTTGATTGATTTTTTAGAAAATAAGAACATCATCAATATAAACTAATTTATAGTTAAAATAGGGAATGAATATTTCATTCACGATTCTCTGAAATTCAGAGCAAGCATTTTCTAATCCAAATGACATCACGTTTCATTCATAATGACCGAAAGAAATAGTAAATGTTGTTTTGTATTTATCAGATTCAATAATTTGAATATGTCAATACTCGAATTTTAAATCAAATTTTGAAATGATTGTGGATTTACTTAACCTATTAGTAAATCTCTTTTATAAGGTATGAGATAACTAATCCTTTTTAAAACCTTATTTAAATGTTTATAATTAATAACCAATCTTGGTTTACTCCTTTCTTGCTCTGTAGAATTCATAACATAAAATACAGTGCAACTTCAGGGCAAGCTTGATTTTCTAAATGACTTTTTATCATGAAGTACATTAATTCTTGTTTATAACTTTTTTAATATTCATCATTCATTTGACAATTCTCATCGAAATTATCGATATAAGATATAGAAACACTCTGTGTTTTTCTTTCCCGAAATTTATTTGAATTATCACGACAAATTTTATTAAAAAATATTTTTATGAAAAGTATCCCTTATAAAATTATCTTGTAATTTTGATTCTATAGATAAAAAAATAATTTCTTCTTTTAAAAAATTAATTTGCTTTTATTTAAAATTATATTTTGTTTCATTTAAAATAATTTCTTTAGGATTAGTAAAAAATTCAAAAATATTTGTTATGCTAAATTTATTGGAATATATTATAGTATTATCAAATCTTTCTATTGACATAATTTTACCTAGGAATGAACCCAGAATAACATGTTGTGTTACATTTTTAATAAATAAAAAATGTATATTTATACATATATCATTTTTATAAATATTTGTAGTGAAAATTTTATAATTTATTTCCATTTTATTTCCTGAAGCAGAAGTTAACAGTTATGTGGTTTTTTCAAAGTATTTGGAAGGTATTATACATTCTTGGATATAATTCTTATCTGCCTGCTAAAGCAGTAAAATTATTTAGAGTATATTCTTTATTTATAATTATAGTAATGGTTATAAACCATTTATGCATAAGTTTATTTTGTAAAGAATTTAAAAAAGATTCTTCTTAATCCTTTTTTTATTGATTTTCAGTAGTTATAATTTTATTGTAATTCTAGGTTTAATAATATAGTTTTTATTTTTTCTTGATTTTTTCTAAGAGTAACTATCTCCTATTTTAAAGTATTAGCTTCCTTTTTTAAATCATTAATAGTAGCAGATTTAATATTTATATTTAAAGCTTTATTTTAAACTTCTCTCATAGAGTATCGTGAAAAAGGAATAATACTAGAAGACAATGATTTGTCTTTTGAGTCTATAACTATTTTTAGCATTTTATTGCAAGTTTTTTCATCCTTAATTTGAGATACAATTTTAATTATTTCGTCTTGAATTGAATAAGATAGAGTAAATAAGTCATTCATTTCGGCTATAGATTTGTAATAATTTTCATTATTATATTTGCAATCAGATTTTAGTTTACAATAGTTTTCATCAGATTTTGATGAATAAGAGGATATTTCCTCAATTTCTTTTGAGTTTTCTAAATTTTTGGAATTCTCTGAAAATGAATTCAATATTTTTTTGAATAATATTTTCTTATTATTCTCATCAATATTGAGCTCATTTATTTTCTTTTTTACTATGCATCTATTTGCATAATGCCCGATTTGCCACTTTTGTAGTATTTTATTTCCTTTTTTTTTATTTTAAGAGGTATTTTAGGTTTGTTCTCTCAATAATATATTTCAAAGTGTTGCTTATGATATTTTTTTTATGAAAGATTTCTCTTTTTCTTTTGGATTTTGTGGAATATCATAAGCAAACTGTTCACAGAAAGCGTCTAATTGATTTCTTTCTATTAACCTTTCCTTTTTTATTTGATAACTTAATTTGAGATATGTATATTGGGCAATATCTTCTTGTACACAATTATTGATCAATTATCCGTATGTGAAAATTTCATATGGAATTCTTTTAATACTAGGATCTTGTAATTGTCTTTTTACCTTTTCGACAAAAAGAATAGGTAATCATTCAATAAATTTTTGTTTCTAATGCATACTATTCGCATAGAGTAGAGAAATTACTCTGATAAAAAAATGTCTTCATACCATCTGAAATGGGTTAAAGTTGGACATTTTAATTTTTGTGAAAGAGATTTAATTTGTTCCCCATTATGTGATACAAGACCCATAAAATGTTGCAATATATTAATAATTAATTTATAAACACCATCTATATTTTCTTGAGTGGGATTTCCCAATATAGTAGGACTAAAAAATTCAGTTTTTTGTTCTTGAGTCAAATAGTTGTCCCACCTGTTTTTAAAAGACCAGTAAACCCATAAGTTAATTGGGTCACAATTTAATGTGGATGATTATTATGACTATGGACTGTAGAGATATAAATCACCATTCTTTGTAATACAATTTGTATTTGTCTATCAGCCATTTCATCAATATTTCATTCATATATATTTGATGGGTTATAATCATTTTGATATTTATTGTTATCTTCT